ATATTCCGGCCCCAATCCATCCCCCTCCCTGCACCCAGTATGCCCCCCCCTCCGCCTCCTCCCTCCCCCGGGAATTTGGGCCCCACTCCATCCCCCTCCCGCACCCGGTATCCCGCCTCCCACTCCATTCCCTGCCCCTTCCCACATCCACGCAGCGGCATCCATAACATCCCCCCATCCCATTCCGCACGGAGGCGGCAGCCCCAGGGCAGGGAAGGGAGCCCACTAGGAGGGGACGGTGGTGGCCGGGGGGCTGCAGGGACCCTGATGCATTGGGGGGGCTGCATCAATGGGGAACCCTGCTGTAATGGGAGGCCCTAATGCAACGCGAGGACCTTAATGCCATCGGGGCGGCTGCAGCAGTGGGGAGCCCTGCTGCAGTGGGGGATCTCGATGCAATGTGGGGGGGCTGCTGCAATGCGGGGTCTTGCTTCAACGGGGWGACCTGCTGCAACAGGGAGCTCTGCCGCAAAGCGGGGGCCTGCTGCAATGGGGGGTCCTGCAACTGGGGGGTCCTGCTGCAATAGGGAGACCCTTGTGCAATGGGGACACCTGTTTCGGTGGGGCGGGGGGGCTGCTACAACAGGGGGGGGCTACAATGGGGACCCTGTGGCAGCCAGGCCAAGGCCACGTGCAGGGCCGGGGCAGTGGGTGCAGGGGGGCACCGAAGAGGTGCCCCCCAAAAGCCTGAGGAGGCTGCGACAGGGACTCACGAGGAAGCCCCAGGCGCTGCAGAGGGGCCAGGAAGAAAAATAATCAAAGAAGAGAAATAATCAAAAGCAAAATGCCAAGCGCCTGCTGCCAGGCTTGCTGCAGCGCCTCCCCCACGTGCAGCTCCCCCTCCTYGCCCGGCTCCCAACAGCACCGTTGGATGCGGAAGCCCGGGGGCTCTGCAATGGGAGCAGAGACGCAGGGCCGGGTGCTGCGGGGCGGGAGGAGGGCGCTGAGATCCTGCTGAGGCCAAGTGTGGCCCCCGTGGGGCTCCCAGTGCCGCTCCGTGGGCAGCAAGGCCGGGCCCCGGGGGCAGGAGGCAGCTCCAGCCCTCRTGCTGCATGTGCAAAACACCCCGTGCAACAGCCTAGTGTGCGAAAACGCCGCGTGCCCCGGTGCTGCCTCTGCCCTCACACAGTTCCTGAAGGGAACAAGACGGGAAGGGGATGAGCAGGAGGCTCCGCAGCTCTGAGGGAAAAGCATCAATCCYCACCGGGGCACTTGACCCTCAGGAGCAGCTCGTCCCTCCGGGCTCCTTGCAAGCCACACGTCCAGAAACAGCATGTCAGGGCCAGAAGGGCAAAGAGCCCCTCCARAAAGCACATACATACATATATGTGCATATATATTTATGTTTCAGAGGGAATTTTTAGCTGGGGTGTTTCCTATACACACACACACGTGGGCACATCCCCTTGTAGCCCAGGCTGAAGGACTAGGCCAGGTTCCTGTGTGGTGCAAACCAGCCCAGTTCCAGGGATATATGTTTGTGTATAGGCAGGTATACAGGTATAAATACAAACATATATGTATAGATCTAAACTGACTCATCCCAGAGTGCAACCATCCTCCTGCTCCACCAGGATTTAGCCCAGGAATGATGAGGTCCRGTGCTCCAGGGCATGGGGTGCCACYGACGGCTGCAGCAGGTGGGTTTTGATGGCAGCAAGAGGCAGGTGCTGAAATCCCGTCTGYGTCTGAAACACCACCGCGTTTGTGTCATTAACCGGAGCCCTGCGGGGGAAAAGAAAAAGGAAAAAAAAAAAAAAAACACTGGAAATTTTCTCTCCTGATGGCTTCTGTGGTTAATTGAGTCTTGCAATAACCAAAACAGAGATAACAGGGCCCGGCACTCATTGTACTCAGGGCGTCTGCAACAACAGATATTTTTTTGCTGAACACATCTCAGCGAGCAGCACCGTCACTTCGCCGCTCGCCGCTGCCAGAGGGTTCCGGAGCCCGGGCACAACCCCTGGCCCTGGGGAGGCTGCAAACGCCCCTCCAGCCTCCCCAAAGCTCGGACACCAAATCCATCCGTTGCGGAGCAAGCGGCAGCGCGGGGGCCGGAGGCAGCGCGGAGCCAGCCCCGCTGCCGGCCCCGGGCCGGGAGCAAACCCGCGTCGTGCCCTCGCTGCACCTGCGCGCACGGCGAGCGCGGAGCGCGGAGCGCGCCGCCCTGCTCTCCGCGGGGCCATCTGGCCCGGCCGTCACGTGTCCGCCGGAGCAGATGAGGCTTGCTGAGCTCAGCGTCGCGCTGCTGCTTCCCCTTCTGCGGCCACAACAAAAAAAGGAGAAAGAAATTTAAGAGAGATGCTGGCGAGGGGTGCGCTGGGTTGCCCTGCCGCCCCGGCACGCTGCACGCAGGGAGCCTTGTTGCTCCCCATGCCACAGAGCCACAAGGGCAAGGGATTTCCCTGCGGATTATTTAGCATTTGGGTGTTTGGTGCGCACTGGAAAATTGGATTTCTTAATAGCTCGCAGCAGCCGACCCAAAAGAAACGCGATCTGTCTGCAAGGTTCAGCTCAGGGCCACAGCCCCACAGAGCTCCAGGAGCTCCCTGCTTCCTCTTCAGCCCTCGTCATCCTCTCCGCGCCAGGAAGGCCAAGGCTCGCGTGGCCGCCTGGCTCAGCTGTGCTCCCTCTTCCATATAATGGTATTGGAGGAAGATTCCAGGTTATCGCCTCGCCCCATCTTCACAGGCCCTTGCACATCCCATTCCCTGCACCRGTCCTGTATCTTTGGCCATTTACTCTAAGCATTTGTAGCTACAGAGACCCAGAGTCCTGCAGTTCCATTTGCCACWGGGATCATCTCCTTCCCTGGGGTTATTTCCTCCTGCACCTTCCTACATCCCACCCCTGCCCATGGGTTCCCTTCAGGAGGAGGAGGACAGAGCAGCCACGTGGGACCTTGTGCTCATCCTGCGCAGTGCCAAGCGGCCACAGTGACCCCATCCCGTGTGTCCTATTTCGGGGGCTGCAGGACACCGTGACGCGCTCACGTGCTGGCGCCCAGCGTGTCCCTTGGCACCCGAGGGCCGGACATTGCGCCGAAGCTCCCAGCGCCCCGTGCCCCTCCGGCGGCCAGGTAACTGCTCCAGGAGCACGCCGGGGCTTTSCTTCCCTCACTCGCAGCGGGATTCCCAAGGGATTCTTTGCCCTTTTGACTTCTCCCCTACACCCCGGCTTTGGTGTCAGTTGCTCTCAAGCCTGAGCTGGAGACTTTCACGTCAGTCCAGGTTTAGCCCCTCCAGCCTAACTGGAACACCAGTTAGTTACTCGAACCCGTTAGTTTTTCCCTCACCCGAACACCGGAGCCCCCCGGCACCCCTTAAACGAGCCCGTTCTCGCCCAAAGCGCCTCCCCTGGAGCGGCTCCATCCCGGAGGCGGGACGGGGCGGCCCGAGACCCGCAGCCCCCCCCGACCCCCCCGCCCCGCGCTCGCTCTCGCGAGGCCGCCGAGGCGCCGCCCCCGACGGCAGCGCGGGCAGCGACGGCCCCATGGAGGCGGCGGGCGGCGAGCGGGGCGGCGAGCGGGGCGGCGCGGGGGGGCGGCCCCGCAACCTGCCCTGGTACGGGGGGACCCGCACCGGGACCTGCACCGGGATCCGCACCGGAATCCGCGCTGGGATCCGCGCCGGGATCCGCGCTGGGATCCGCACCAGGATCCGCAGCGGCTCCGGGATCCGCACCGGGACCCGCACCGGGACCTGCGCCGGGATCCACACCGGGTTCCGCAGCGGCCTCGGGATCCGCACCGGGACCCGCAGCGGGATCCGCACCGGGACCCGCAGCGGGATCCGCAGCGGCACCGGGACCGCCCCGTCGCTCGCCGCCTCTCACGGCACTCTCCGTGTTTAGGGTGGAGAAGTACCGGCCGCAGGCGCTGGCCGACCTCGTGTCCCACCAGGACATCCTCAGCACCAGTGAGTAGCAGCCCGGACTCGCCCGGCTCCTCCCGTGCCCCCGTAGGAACCAGACCTGTCCCCTGGGAACTGCCCCACGTGCCTCACGCCGCCTCCTGTCCCACATCCCATCCCCAGTCCAGAAGTTCATCAGCGAGGACCGTCT